CATAATTAAGTTTGCATTATTCCTATCCTTTATTCTTTGTGAGCGTCGAACTCCTTCTTCAATCAATTTCCTTTCTTGTTCTTCAAGTCTTGCTTTGTGCCGTTCTTCTAAGATGCTCTTTGTTTCTCCTTTCTTTCTTCCTCCTTTTACACATCTTTCCTGTATCGGTTCAGTTTGTGATGAGTCATTTTCACAGTCACCACCTAGTTTTACTGAAGTATCCTCCTGAGACTTCATTTTACTCTCTGTGACAGGATTGTCTTCTTTCAAGATAAGAAAGTCTTCAGCAACTATTTCTTCACAATTTCCTTTATAGTTCAAATTATCACAATTAGTATCTTCCTGAATATCATTTGCATAATCAATTCCTCTCTTATCTTCACTAAATTTTACTGATCTGACTTCATGGATTCTCTTTGTCATTATATCATATATTCTGTAGGCTTTCTTTTAATGGAATAACCAATAAATATTCCCTTTCTACCCTTTGGTGAAAACTTGTTTCTTCTTGGTTTGCTCTCAAGCCAATGTGTCAAACATCCAAATATTCGAATGTGTTTGACCGATGGTTTCCTGCCATTCCATCTCTGCATAGGTGTATGGTGCTTGATAGACCTATGGGGGGTACAATTCTTAATGTATGCAGCTGTAGCAATTGCCTCTGCCCAAAACATCATGGGTAATTTTGAGTCAATTAGTAAGGTTCTCGCTGTATCTATAAGAGTCCTATTCACTCTCTCTGCGACTCCATTACTTTGTGGTGAGTATGTGGTGGTAAGTTGGTGATGAATCCCACTTCTCTTGAAAAGTCCTTCAAATCTAGAGTTACAAAATTCAGTTCCATTGTCGGTTCTTACATCTTTTATTCTAAGACTTAATTCGTTTTCGGCTCTTGCTTTAAATTCTTCAAATCTTTCAAAGGTCTCATCTTTTGATCTCAGGAAATATACAAAGATTCTTCTACTGTAATCATCTACTATAACAAGGAAATACTTAGATCCTCCTAAAGATTGACATGGCATTGGTCCACATAAATCCATATGAATCAACTGCAGGGGCTTAACTGTATAATTTTCTGTAATATTATATGGCTTCTGCACCAGTTTTCCCATTATGCATGCTTCGCACTCTGGTAACCTTTCGAATTTTAGATCCAATCCTCTTACAATATGTCCTTGAATCATTTTTTTCATGTATTCTTCATTTATATTGTTTAATCTCTTATGCCATAAACTTATATTGCTATTTTTATTTGATAAATGTGTATTTATAACCATGACATTTTCATTTTTTGCTATTGGTACATTTCTTTGTTTTGTTTCCATCATAAACATTCTATCTTTAATATATGCTTCAGCAACTAAGTCATTCCCTTCATTATAAATTTTTGCTCCATCCTTATTGAAAATAACTGAATTTCCCTTGTTGACTAATTCGTATACTGACAAGAAATTATTCCTTAAACTGGGTACATGTAAGATATCTTTGATGCAAATATTTTCTTGGCCTTCACTTGTGCATGTAGTAAGTCTCATATCTCCTTTGGCTATGGCTTGGGTAGTTTTGCCCTTCTCAGCTAGGTTGATTTCACTTTCATAATCTACCACATTTTCCATCAAAGTTAGGTTTGGGGTTAAATGTGCGGTGCATCCTGAATCTATACACCATATTTGTCTATCATTTCTCTCATCTGGTGAATCTTCAAATTCTTTTACATATGTTTCAAATGCTTGCTCATTAATTCCACTTTTCATAGTATCCACTAGGTTATTTGAATGTTCCCTACTGTATTTGTGATTTCTATAACCAGGATTCCATTTCTTTTGGTATCCTTGTTTCTGTTTATCTCGAAACCAGCAATCATTAGCTAGATGTCCCTTTTTATTACAAACAAAACATCTTTTTGGCTGAGATTGTTGAACTTTTCTATCTTTAATTCTGTATGCTTGTTCATGCCCATTCTCAACCGATTGATTTAATCTCATATTTCTTCTTGACTCCTCTTCTCTTAGAGTTTGTTGAATCTCTTCAATTGTTGCTTCTCTCTTTGATCGTAAGACAATAGCAATATTTTCATACCTTGGATGTATGCCTCTGACAATATGAAATGAAAGTTCTCTTGAGGAAAATTGATGCCCTAATGATGAACTTCTAGCAGCAATATTTTTTGCCCTTGTTATATATTCATCTACAGTTTCATTATCTTTCATTCTAATATTTTCGTTTTTGAGCTTTATATCAATAAACCACGCTCTGCTACCAATTGTTGACTTTGCTTAGTATTATTAATGAAACTGATTCCAATAATTATTAATTAAACATTATATTTATTGATTAACAAGAGAGATAACAAAATTAATTCTAAGCCTATATCAATAATTTTATCTTCCAAATTGCCTGTGTATGTTTTTCTCAGTGAGTCCCATACTTTCTTAGCATTTGTTTCTCCTATGAACATTCCAGCTTGTTCATTTGTCAACGTAGTGATGATTATCCCAAAAGCTTCATCATTTTTATCACTCCAAATCTCCCAAGAACTTTTGTCTTACATATCAGGTTCTGGATCTGAAATTACACATTTAAATAATTTTCTTCCTCTCAGAACTGCGCCGATTTTCAACGCCCATATTTGATAATTATTTCCTGTTAATGGTTCAATTTTTGTTTGGGATAAAACATTATATTCAGCCATTTTCGTCTTTTGAGCTAATATAAACAAACCAATATATAATTTAAAACAAATATATATTTTAAATTTATTTAAATATTGGGTAGCTTTTAAACATGCAATATATAGATATAATTTAACTTAATCTATATAAATACCTTTAATCTTCTTATAAGTGCTTCAGTTTACCGATCAGAATAAACTTCTTGCTTAATCTTCAGATTGAATATTTTCGTTTTTGAGCTTTATATCAATAAACCACGCTCTGCTACCAATTGTTGACTTTGCTTAGTATTATTAATGAAACTGATTCCAATAATTATTAATTAAACATTATATTTATTGATTAACAAGAGAGATAACAAAATATAAAAATGAAACTTATATTGAAACAAAGGAACTCTTTCTTCTTGTTTTTTAGCGCCTATTTACCCGTGAGCTTACACACACTCTGTGGTAACAAATAATTAAAATATGTACAACAACATGTCTATGAGTTTTATTGCAAAAACTGAATTTATATCCACTTAAATAGTTTTTATCGTAAAAATCATTTACTCTTTGGGAGTTTGTTAAAAAAAAGAATATCGATATATCAACCGTCCTTGAGTCATTTACTAATAAATAATAATTCTAGGAGATGGTTTATGTATCTATATTCTGATATTATTTATATTATATATATATAAATATAAATATGTTTTTTAACGTCATAGTGAGGCAACAATGAACAATCGCAGAAACCGCTGAACTCCCGCCGGGTGAGGAACAAGTTGGGGGTTCCTGTACAAAACAAGTCCGGCCTTACATCAGGGACAGCGTTACTGCCCCGTGGCTACATTCAAGCTAAGCACAGCTGCCACAAGGTCTTGAACAAGTTCGATTTGTCCAGTTTGATCCAACATACTAGACGCTGATCTCTCGCCGGGCGAGGAACGTGTTGGGGGTTCCTGTACAAAACAGGCCCGGCCCTGAATTTAGGGACAGCGACAAGGATCTATGGCTACATTGAAGCTAGACACAGCTGCCTTAAGTCAAAGACATCTATATACCCGAACTTTTATGATTCATCTAATACAGTAGCTGCTGATCTCCCGCCGGGCGAGGAATGTGTTGGGGAATTCCTGTTGAAAATATGCCCGGCTCTATATTTTGGGGACAGCGCTACTATACCGTGGTTACAATGAAGCTAACCAAAGCTACCACAAGACCGGGATTTGGCGTACTCTATTCCGATATCCTCTATGACTTCGCGACTCCACAACTATTCTTCCACTGCTAGCGTTGTCGAACTCATACACAAGAAGCAGGTCATCGCACTTAGCGAAGGTCATATCAATAATTATGATGATACTCCAGGAAATTTTCAATATTTGATATTAATGGATCATATTTGGAAGAAACTGCTCAAGAAGATTCTTCAATATTATCTACCAATCTCTGAAACGGAAAGGACTATTCAGAATTTCTATTCATCAAATACTTCAACACATATTCTGCATCTACAAGTTTATACCACTCCATCGTCACCAACTCTACATACATCTCAATAACACCAACAAGGCCACAGATATCCAGATATACCAACTCTTCACATACTCCAAAAATACTCACAAATTCATATAACCAACTTTGTTCGGAAATACCGAAAACTTCATTTTAACCAACAGCACTTTCTGAATCTTTTGTGCTCTTTGGAGCATCCTGCCTCTATATAATTGACTTTAAAGAATTGGGATTTAATCTTCAGATGCAATAACTATTTATATAAGATCTCACCAAAAATAGTGATTATGATGATATTCGAAACGCAAACATCTTAAATAAATTCAAGGATCAGCTAACAAAATAATTCAATGAATGCGGCCTATATACCAATGAGACAAGATGCTGAAACACCATTTTATTCAGTAGACGTCGACAACTGTTTGATAATGGTTAAAATAATAATTGCTAAAATGTCATTTGAAACAACCTGGAACATCTCTAAACGGCCTGGAATATATGGAATATCTGGAGTCAAAGAATGACAACTAGACAATTATCTTCGCTACATTTGAAGATCTTAGAATGAACCAAATCTACCAAAATCTGGAGGAATAAAAAGACGCGTTTGTTTTTAAATTACTAAATATAAATTGATATTGTGAAACTTTTGTATATATCTGATTTAATATTTTTCAGAACGAAAATTGCAATTATACCGCAAATGTTTCTTTTTGAACGAAAAATCGAGATTTATTTTGAGGAGAAATAGCGATTATTTCTAACCTTAGGGATGAAGTATGATAGGATGAATTGTGAAGAGTAATGATGAACGGAAAAATAAAGTGTCCAGGGATGGGAATCGAACCCACAGTGTTCCGCTTACATATGTCATGTCCACTAGACTACCCTGGACATATATTTCCGTTCGTAAATATTATATAAAGTAATTTATAATACAATATAATGCGGCTTATGATTTTCGTTCAAAAGGAAACATTTGCGGTATAATTGCAATTTTCGTTCTGCAATCATAAGCCGCATTATATTGTATTATAAATTCAATATTTTGTAGATATATATACATATAAAGTATATAAATATCACTCGTATATTGTTTTTTTTTGTGTGTGAAAGGCTAGGACATTGGAACTATATACAAAATAAAGTCAGTGGACGAGTGGGTAACACCCTCGATTCCCTACATCCATAAACCGGGATCGAATCCCGCGTTAACATTTTGTTTAATATGTGAATAACCTTCAAATATTATTCACTGTTTCAATTATCATAAACTAGGTTGCTCTTGTTGAGCGGTACCTAATAAAGTGATTTTGAACCGGCGGAACTATATACAGGGTCCATTATAAAAGTAATGAGCATAATGTTATTGTGACGCGACGATAGATGGCAGCACGGTAAAACCGTGGGAAATGTGGTGGAGGGATATGCCCTTTCAATCCATCCGGTCGTCAGTTGAGTTCGAGCAGTGTGAGGGGAGATACATGCCTCTGCTTGAAGTGTGTTTTCAACTTTTGTAACATAGCGCGATGGAGCGTTCGCTTGAACAACGATACGCCATAAAGTTTTGCGTGAAGCTTGGAAAAAATGCAACCGAAACATTCCAGATGCTGCAAAAAGCCTTGAAGGACGATTGTATTTCAAGATCACAGTCTGGGAAGTGGAACAAGGCGTTCAAGGAGGGCCGGGAGGAGGTCGCCGACGAACCCCGTTCAGGACGCCCAACAACGGCCAGAACTGACGAGAACGTGGATCGTGTGCTCGAAGTTTTGCGTACCGACCGTCGATTAAGCATCAAGCAAATTGCTGACACATTACACATGTCCACATTTGTGGTACATGGGATATTGACCGAGGATCTGCAAATGCATAAGGTCTGTGCGAAGCTTGTGCCGAAAGTGTTGACGCAAAACCAGAAAGAACTTAGAGTTTTGCGCTGTCAAGAATTGTTGGATTTGATTCAAAATGAACCGGGCTTTCTGAACTCTGTAGTAACCGGAGACGAATCCTGGATGTTTCAATACGACCCAGGGTCGAAAAGGCAGAGCTGTGCATGGCACACAAAATCATCCCCACGCCCCAAGAAAGCGCGAATGAGCAAGTCGCGCATCAAAACGATGATCATTGTCTTCTTTGACATCCGAGGAATAGTCCATTGTGAGTTTGTACCGCAGGGACAAACTGTAGACTCAGCCTTTTACCTGGAGGTGCTCAGGAGATTGAAACGCCGGATCGCACGCGTGAGGACTGACATTAAAGACACGGTCAAGCTTCACCATGACAATGCCACCAGTCACACAGCCTTCATCATTACCAACTTCCTGGCCCGGAGCAACAACCCGGTGATCCCTCACCCCCCCTTACAGTCCCGACTTAGCTCCATGTGACTTCTTTTTGTTTCTGCGACTCAAGAGAGAGAAGAAAGGAAAACATTGGGAAACCGTGGAAAACATCCAACACCATGTTACAACGTTCTTGAGAAGCATTCCTGTCGAGGAGTTTCAGGGTTCCTTTCAGGCGTGGCAAACGCGTCTCCGCAAGTGTATTGATGCAGGAGGAATGTATTTTGAAGAAAATTGAACATTCGCACAAATTACGATCAATAAATGTATTTTTTGCCAGTAAATGCTCATTACTTTCATAATGGACCCTGTACAAGAAGAGAATGTGTTTATGATATCTAAAATGTGATCATGGTTCGAATATATAATGTGAATTTTTGCATAAAATAACTGCATAACTGAATTAAGAGAACTCTTTAATAAATAATTTATACTATATAATAAATAAAATAATTAAATTGGACCTCCCCCCCCCTGAATGTTAAGAGACATTTAAATACTATTAATACATAGCAATAACGCGCCATCTGTATAATACCAATGAAAACACCAAAACGCGAATGTTTCTTTTCACAGTTAAATCAAACTTCTACTTTCCTTACTGTAATGAAAAATATTGGAGGACTTGGCTCATCAGTGGTGAACCCTTCCAGCGGTTTCGTCAATTTTTAATCTACCAGACCGCTTCTCTAGAGCTCTAACACTGTATTGGATAATTCTGATTTTATATGCTATGCTGAATGGTGGAATCATAGAAATTTCATTTAAGCAAACTATTAACATAAGCTTTTAGGTAAGGGCAGTAGAAGTTTGATTTATTTTATTTATTTATTTATTTTTTGTTTATCCCAAATACACGTGGTGCAGGCCATGATAATCATGGTGGGTAGAGGTAGGCGACTGCTTTTACTGTAAGTGCATCACATGTCTACACATGTGAAAAGCAGTTCGACTTTGCACTTACAAATGTGCCAGAGCCCCGTTTGGTTACTTGCACTCGTTGGTGGGGTTGGACTTTTGCAAGAAACGGGGGCCATTGGAGCATTTTTTTTTTTAATAAGAAAAAAGTGCCCAATGTGGGAATCGAACCCGGGTCGTAGTGGTCGAAAACCAACGGCTTAGACCATCCTTCCACCGACCCCCTGATTTATTTGTGAAAAGAAAATTTGCATTCTGGTGTTCATAATTTGTTTGCTCTCACCCGGTCCGTCATCTGGCGACGTCTCGAAGTGGATCTCCATTATTTCACAGTGTCGAAGTTATAACTGATAAGAAAAAGTTAAGAAACTAAGTTATGTATTTTATAGATATTTTAAATTACCCGAACAATTTTCTAATATTTTTTATAACATTCTTCACATAAAACTTATTTGCAAAGCGTGCATCATTCGATAGGTTGAACTCAGGCAATTAGTTTGTCTTACACTTTAATCTGTATTTATTTATAGACACATTAAAATAATGATATATCAACTTTTTATTTCAGTAAAAGAGGGGTATATTTTATATATCTATACTAAAAATAGTTTTATTTAGAATTTTCGACGATTTACCCGCTGGTCTTTATCGAGAGAAACTTTATCGAGAGAAACTATTTCAGTATTTTACATAAAAATGTTTATATCTTATTTTGTGACGGTATTATTGCAAAAAAAAAAAAAAGAGTCGGTGGATGAGAGGGTAACATGCTCGATTCCCGACAATAAGTCGGTGGATGAGAGGGTAACACGCTCGATTCCCGACAGTCATGAACCGGGATTAAATCCCGCGTTAAAATGTGTTTAATATGTGAATAACCTTCACATATTATTCATTGTTCAATTATCATGAACTAGGTTGCTCTTGCTGAGCGGTACCTATTTATGTGAATTTGAACCAGGTATTATTGCTCATAAAAAAACGTCGGTGGACGAGTGGGTAACACCCTCGATTCCCGACAGCCATGAACCGGGATTGAAACCCGCGTTAACATATTGTTTAATATGTGAATAACCTTCACATATTATTCATTGTTTCAATCATCATAAACTAGGTTGCTCTTTTGAGCGGTACCTAATAAAGTGATTTTGGAACCGAAGGTATAATTGTTGCCTTTTAAATATATAACAGAAACATACTAGTGTTAAGGAACTTTGTTCTGCTCCCTTTATAATATATTCTTGAATTAAAAACATTATGCCATTCTCAAAAATTTGAATTCAAATAAGAAAGACGATTCCAAATTTATTTCATATTTGTGGTGGCAGAATATGCATTCATCAAGGGTGTATACCAGGGGTCGGCAATATTTTGAGTCGAAAGAGTCGAAAATTACAATTTACAAAATTTCAAAGTTTTTAAGAGCCACAATTTTTTTTTATCTTGCCAACAATAAATAGTAATCGCATGAATAATATTTGCATATGGAACTATATAAAGAGCCACAGCTTCACAACGTGAGAATCAGTTAATGGACATAATCGAACAACTGAACGATGAAACTATCCTTAGGCCCCTATATAACCGAGGGACGACCATTAATGATGTCGCGGTCCTGTACCCCCATCTTAGGGAGAGTTTCCACGCGGATACCTTACCTAAACACAAGATTGTCAAGTTCCTCAACGCAGTCATCGCTGGGGACACGGATTCCATAACTCGCAAGTCTGAACTCAAGACGATTCTAAGCTCCTGATAGGATCCAGACGTCCCTTCAGAGAAGGCCTCGTCTGGTGTATATATTTTCTCTACTATTTTAAACTCTGTAAACTCTCTCTTGACCGTTGACTAGATGTCAATAAACTATTTTTAATTGTCAATTTGTCACAGCTTCACATCCAAAGAGCCGCATGTGGCTCGCGTGTTTACCGACCCTGGTCTATACATCAATAACACACACTAGTGTCTAATATCAATTAAACAACTAATCTTTTGGATAGAACTATATACCTTGATGTACCTGCTAAATGGGATTTCCATGTCTGTAGGTCATAATGACGCTTCTCGTCATCCATCTCATGGTCATGCGGATGACATCAAAATGACCTCATGGCTGTCAACTAAGAGCTGCTGGCTCTGGTATGGTTCCTGGAAGCATCGGACAGACTCTCCTCTGGGAATCTCATGGACTCCCAAGTCGCTGACCGTTCTGGGCTGCACCGGAACGCCATCGCCTCCCAGTCCTCCCACCTAATGGGGCTGCTGGAGCGATCCATCCCGAGATGGTCTCTCTTCACCCACGGCCTGTCGCTGGTGGGTCAGGTCCTCGTGGCCAACAGCTTGGTCGTGGGTTCCATCCTGCATCATCTCCACGGCTACGTTCAACTTGAAACCTTCTAGGACCGGCTGCAGTCGCGGCTGACGCGCTTCGTGTGGGATACGATCCGAGTCTCGTGGCTCCCCGGGGCATCCTGGGTTGCCCAGTCTCTGAGAGTGGCGTCAACATGCTGTACGGTGCGTTGAAAAGGTAACGCAGAAAAAGTGAATTTATTGAATTATCTCCGCGTAGAGCCACAAATTCAGAAAATAACTATAGTGTTGTTCCTTGATAAAGGTAAACGTACAGCCTTTGAC